CTCCTGTGCCTCATGCCAGAGAGAGGGTGAGAAGGCAGGGGGAAGTAATTGTGAAGCCCGTCTTTGTAAGAAGCCAGTGTACTTTCCCCTTCATTTTCTGCCTTCTCCCTGTCTCCCCAGCATGAGGCACAGCAGCTTGGGTGAGAGGGATTGCCAAGATGCCTAAAGGAGAGTAGCCTGTATGTGAAGAAAAGGAAATAAAACCACCACCTCCACCATCCTGCTGTGGTCAGCTTGCTGTTGTGGTGGTTTTACTCTGTCTTTAATAGCTAGCTTGCTCTCCTGTTGGCAGCCGCCCAGGTACTGAGATGAGAATACAGAGGCTCAGAGGAGGGTGGTGGGTTGTTGGAGAAACCCCTTTGTTCCATCCCTGGCCTGAGGCCTGCACCTCAGGGAGGCTTGCCGTTTACCTGTCCTCCAGTCCCTCCAATAGCAGCCGTTTCAAGATGAGCATCACCTAGCAACCACAAACCTCACCAGTCAGTGCCCATTAGGCCTTGCCTGCTTTCCTAAAACATGAGGTGGGTGTCATGTTGTGGGACAATGCTCAGAAGAGCCACAGGTGGCATGTAAAACAGCCACGTGTGGCCCCTGAGACACTGAGTATCACTGACATAGGTTCAGTATCTCTAGTGCATAGAAGTACCCTTGCGCTATCAAAAGTTACAGTATCCACCTCCAGCCTTGGCCATCTCCACATACCCTGTTGGGCCATCCTTTTTTCATTGTTGGGAGTAGGCCAGCCCCACCCAGGAGGAAGAGCAGAAAGAGACTGATGGGTTTCCCAAATCAAATTGGAAATCAAGGAGCATGTGTCACTCTAGCTTTTTATCTGATCTCATTCCCCACATTCTGCATGCAGCCCTGCTCCAAACCTCAAAGTCTTGTGTCACGGGTACCAAGTAAACAGGTGTCAACACTGCCATCTCCTCATGAGGAATTATTTATTGGATTTCTACCCCGCCCTCCCGGCCAAGGCTGGCTCAGGTCAGCTTACATAAAATCCACACACAGTTTACAATAAACATGGAATATGTTGCAATTAAAACAGTTCTAAAATCAATTCTACATAATATAATAAAGTGCTAGTGTCCATGATTCCACAATAGCAGCTGTTGCTCCGATCTGTTTCCTCATAGCCGGCTCCTCGATCTTCTATGATAGTCTTTCCAGCAGGTCACATAGGCTATAGGTAAAGATTCCAAGGAAACAAGGCTCCCGCCTTCAACTGTCAGTGTTCGTAGTGGTGGTGGTGGCTCCAAATGCCTGGCGGAAGAGCTCTATGTTACAGGACCTGTGGAACTGTAAAAGGTCCCTCAGGGCCCTGATCTCCTCTGGGAGCGCATTCCACCAGGATGGAGCCACCGCCGAAAAAGCCCTGGCACCAGCCGGGAGGGCCAGTCGGTTCTGGGCCCCTGATCGCAGTGCTCTCTTGGGAACATGCAGGGAAAGGCAGTCCCTCAGGTATGCAGGTCCCTGGCCATAAAGGGCTTTTAAAGGTGAGCACCAGCACTTTGAAACAAATCTGGTATGCTATTGGGAGCCAGTGCAATGCCTTCAGCACAGGCTGGATGTGCTCCCGCATAGGGAGTCCCATCAAAAGCCTGGCTGCAGCATTTTGCACTAGCTGCAGCTTCCGGATTTGGGACAAGGGCAGCCCCATGTAGAGAGCATTACAGTAGTCCAGTCTCGAGGTGACCATCACATGGATCACTGTTGCCAAGTCGTGTTCAAGGAAGGGAGCCAGCTGCCTGATCAGCCGAAGATGATAAAAGGCCGCTTTGGCAGTGGCTGCTACCTGGGCCTCCGTTGTTAAGGAAGTATATAGGAGCGTTCCCAAACTCCTAACCTCTGGCGCTGGCACCAACGGTGCGCCATCAAAGGTTGGGAGCGGGCTCCCTACCCTCAGTCTGCCCTGACTCAGGCACAGGACCTCCGTCTTCATCTGATTCAATTTCAGGCGGCTCAGCCTAAGCCAATTAGCCACAGCTTGTAATGCCCGGTCCAAATATCCCGGTTTGGAGTCAGACTGGCCACTCAACAACTGGTACAGCTGGGTGTCATCCGCATACTGGTGACATCCCAGCCCATGTCTCCAGGCCATCTGGGCAAGGGGACTCATATAGATGTTAAAAAGCATTGGGAACAACACAGCCCCGTGGGACACTCCACAATCCAGTGGGTGCCTTCGGGATAGCTGTTCCCCCAGTGCCACCCTTTGTCCCTGACCTTGGAGAAACGAGGCAAGCCATGGCAAGGCCAGTCCCTGGACTCCAGTGTTGGCGAGGCAGTGGATCAGTAGCTGATGGTTTACCATGTCGAATGCTATTGACAGGTGTAACAACAACAGCATTGCCGATCCGCCCCGATCCAGATGCCTTCAGAGGTCATCTGTGAGGGTGACCAGTGCCGTCTCCGTCCTGTGGCCCAGGCGAAAACTGGACTGGAAGGGATCTAAAAAGGTTCTAAAAGGAAGCAGCCAAAATGCAACAGAAAGCTTTCTGGTGGGCTGCCAGTCATCCTATATCCATATTCTATTAAAAATAAATAAGATGGAAGCTAAAACGAGATCAGATTGTGTCAGGTCATGATTTTCTTTAGTGTACTTGGCAAACTGAACATTGGCAGAGAGAGTAATCCTGCCCGCCACCTGTAATACCAGCTGAAATCCTTCCTCCTGATGTTTCCAGCCTACCTTTAATACTTCCTTTAAATATTTTACTGTTAGGATTATACACCGCGAAGCTGACTTATGAAAATAGATTGATCAAGATTAACTATACCGGAGGAGAGATATGCCACAAAATATATAATCGGTCAACAGCTATATTTTTTTACTGTGACCCTCATGACAGTTTGGAGGTAAGCAGATGATCGCAAACTCCCATTTCTTCACAAGTCACTTCACTTCCTGTCCTTATGGGAAGCAGCTGTATTCTGTGTGATAAGTTGCTCATAACAGGGATTTGTTACATAATTTCTATATGGCTATATGTAATAGACTTACTTTGTTTTCTCAGCCTGTGTTCCTGAAGGAAACGGAAGATTGTACCTATATGTTTGAATGGCACACCCCTTTTGCCTGCCCCCCCTACAAATCCATAGACTGTTCCTATAAGTAAGTTACCTTATTTCAGTGGGGTTTTGAAGTGTATTACTTAGGTCTTGCCATCCTGTCTTGTAAAAAATGTAATGCGTAGACCATTCTAGCAGTAAGTTTGTACAATATCTGTAGGAGCGTGAGTTCTCCCCCCCCCCACTAGAAACAGCATCTCTAACAACTGGAGGCTGTCAAAGTATCACCCAGTTGTGCCAGTTCCCAGCTTCTGGACCCCAGGGCCTTGTGATACCACTTGTAGCACATTCAGAGTAATGAAATCAGAGTAGGGCAGTACCGCAGCTATATCTAGTTTGGGGTCTGAGACTGGAAGCCGGTGTAAATTATTTGGTAGCCCTGAAAAGCGGTCCCCTACTGTCAGTGCAGCATAAGTATTGATTCGCTTATTTGCAGGACATGGTTTTAAAATATATATATTTACTTTATTGCAGAGATAGTGATGGCAACTCATACGATCTCTCTTCTCTTACACGGTATAAAGAAAACTGGGAAGTAATTTCAGATGCTGGCTCCTTACAGAAATATTACATCAACGTCTGTAAATCTTTAGTTCCATATCAAAGTGCAGGTAATAACTGGGCAAACTAATAGAATGCTTATCTAGAAATCTTGTGGTCAGGGTGGGGAATGTATATCCATGGTATATTACCTAAAGGAAACCTAGATTCTGTGTCACAACATGCTAACAATTCATTATGTACAAATTATGGCTGAAGGGGTGGGATGGGGAGGTGTTCCTTACAGGGCCCGTTGTTTTAGAAACTGCCACAAAATGAGAAAATTTATGTAATTCAAGGTAAATTTGTGTCCATGGGGAATACTGGGAAGACTACACAGTTGGGAAGTTCTCTCTGCAGATACTGAGATGCTGTTGAGATTCAAGCAGGACTAGGTAAGTAGCTCTCTGCTCACCTAGTCCTGAACCTCACCAGTTGTTGTAATGGATCTGCTAGCAGAAGCTCAGTGCTAAGTAAACTGCAGAGATCCTTATGACAATCTAGGGATGAACACATCTGTTGTGCCATAAGCTTTCCTGTGCCAGAATCTGCTTTTATCAGATGCATAAAGTGTTAACATTTAGTTGGCACAGAGCTTTATCCTGAAGGGGAAGAGAGCTACTACAAGAAGTTTAAGACACTCCAATTTCTTAGTTTATAGTTGTTGCATTGTTGCAGAGTACAACCGAAAAAGGGGAGAAAAACACAACCCTGCACAAGAGAGGTGACCAAAAAGAAAAGGAAAGCAAAATATAACTCCACATGTAGTGCAAATGTACAAAATATAATATACAAGAAAGGGGACCCGCGAAAATCGCGGGGGGGAGGAGCGGGGGAGCTCTACACAGAGCAGGGGAGGAAGAAGAAGCAGGTAAGCTTCCCCCCCATCCTGTTGGTTCCCCCGTCTCCTCCACCCCCCCTCAACTACCCCCCCCGGCTCGCCGGCCCCCCCAGTCTCTGTCTCCCCGTTTCTCTCTCTTCCCACCCAGTGTCTCTCTCTGTGTCTCTCTCCCCCCCATTCTCTCTCTTCCCCCCAGTGTCTCTCTCTCTGTCTCTCTCTCTCCTCCCCGTTCTCTCTCTTCCCCCCCAGTGTCTCTCTCTCTGTCTCTCTCTCTCTCCCACCGGGCAGAGATGAGACGGGGGAGGGGAGGCGGAGCTCCTCTGACGTACCGACGGTGGTGATCAAGGAAGCGGGCTGCGACTGCGAGGTCTGCGTGTATCGCCTCAGGATGGGGGTTTTGCCCAAGTCGGGCTCCCCGGCCATCACGATCTTGGCCAGCAGCACGTTCTGGGGCTCGCAGGAGGCTCCAGGCTGGGCCATGTGCCGATAGCAGTAGGCGCTGCAGCAGCTCCCCAGTCAGGAGGCCCACCGGAGTCACTTGAGGCGCGGGCAAAGCAGAGCCCGCCCTTCTTCTGCCGGCTCTTTTCTCGCTGCGGCTCGGAGTTTTCGCAAGCCTCGCCGCTCTGCCCCCCCTCCCTGCTCGCCACTCGCCGCTTTCTTCCCAAGCGGCGGCAGCTTCCCCCCCTCCCCCCGGCTCCGAGCCGAGGGCCGAGAGGCCCCCCTCCCTGCTCGCCACTCGCCGCTTCCCTCCCAAGTGGCGGCGGCCTTCGCAGAGCGTTCCCTGTGCATGCGCAGGGGACGCTCTGTGAGTTTCGGGGGGATTTAAAAAAACGGGGGGGATTTTTTTTTCAACATTTAGGATTTTTGTGCACATGTGGGGACTGCCCCACGTGTGCACAAACCTCTCCCTCCCCCCCAGGTGCCCCCGAAGTGTGGATTTAGATATCCGCACAGACGGGGCCACTTTACTATTAGATATATAGATAATTTAATAATACAATAATGAGTGCTAACTATAAGATTGCTGTTTTTAAAATATTTTAGCACTTGCAGTTGTATTATTAAATTGTATGTTATGTTTTGTACATTTGCACTGTGTTGCATTGTTCCAGAGCACAGACGAAAATCAGATCCAGTCAGGATTGTTTTATTTATTTATTTAATGGGGTTTATATTCTGCCCTACCGTGCAAGCAAGCTCAGGGCAGCTCAAATCATATCATATAAAACAAACAATTCTTTTTTTAAAAAAGATTAAATGATCTACTTAGAGTGGGTGTGGATTAGCAAAATAGAATGAATCTGAATAATTTACATAAGCAGTAAGGAAGGGAAATTGCTTTGTGGTGAACTAATCGTCCCAAGCCTCTACTGTGTCCAACATAAATCAAACCTGCTTGCAAATTCCAATTTAGAAGCTTCTCACTAGAGTTGAGAATCTGACCTGTTCTTGCATCTCATGCTGTTTTGTAGCCTCAGCCAGTTGAATGTAATTCCTCATGCATCTGAAAGAAGTAGGCTGTGGTCTGGGAAAGCTGCCAGAAGATTCTTTGTTTCAGCTGCAACAGACTTATGCTACTCCCTCCCCATGTTATGGAAATTTGAATTGTACAGACTGCGTAGTTGACTCACCTTGCTGCTTGAGTTGTTCGAGAACTTGGAGTTCTCTATCAGAAAGTACATGACAGGCACAGAAGGAGTGTGATAAGTGAGCAGGCAAGCAGCTGTATTACATGGGCTGGGAAGAAACAGAAGAGTGGCCATGTAGGCATGCTGTGCACGCTAGTATGGTCTACTTCACCAATCAACAGCTCAGAATTTCACCTTCTACGATGATTGCTATTTTCCAACATACTGTATGTGCAGCAGTCTACTAGCCCGGTCTTGTTGGGAGTGAAATTCCCCTGAAGCAAGGGAGGACATGACCTATATAACAAGAAATGTTGATTCCTATCTAGTATGTAAAAAAAAAAGTGGATGTGGGACATGTAGGAAAATCACATAGATGGGGAGGGGCCATGGCTCAGTGGTAGAGCATCCGCTTTGCATGCAGAAGGTCCCACATTCAGTCCCCCGGCAGCTCCACTTAAAAGGGCAACGCAGAAGGTGATTTGAAAGACCTCTGCCTAAGACCTTGAAGAGCTCCTGCCAGTCTGAGTAGATAATACTGACCTTGATGAACCCAAGGGTTTGATTCAGTTATAAGGCAGCTTCATGTGTTCATGAGCTGCCTTCTGTAAACAACTGAGGAACAAAAACCAAACAGAACCCACCTAGGTGAGTTCAGGCAAAGCTTTAACTACAGTGTTATAACAGAAATGGAGCTGCAGTGGCTCAAGTGGTTAAGACGCTGAACTGCAGGCTGTGGAAGGTCAGTAGTTCAGCAGTTCAAGACCCGGGTGCCGCAAGACGGAGTGAGCTCCCGTATCTAGTTCCAGCTCCTGCCAACCTAGCAGTTCGAAAGCAAGAAATTGCAAGTAGATAAATAGGTACCACTTTGGTGGGAAGGTAACAGCGTTCCGTGCGCCTTGGTGTTTAGTCATGCCGACCCCATGACCACGGAAACGTCTTTGGACAGTGCTGGCTCTTCGGCTTTGAAACGGAGATGAGCACCGCAACCCTAGAGTTGGACTCGACTGGCTTTCGAGCAAGGGAACCTTTACCTTTACCTTTATAACAGAAATACCTAAAGGAGGATCGTCCCTATGAGTAAAGGGTCATACTTGCCAGTAGTATTAAATTGGACTCTTACCTTGTTTCAGAATATTCTAGTTCAGGATTTCCTTCTTCCCATCATACTAATAAGCCAGAAGAATATATTGTATACTGCCATTGCTGCTTGTGTTTGACATGGTCTCAAGCAGGTGGTGGCTAGTAAGGAGTTTGCCCTGTTCCTTGGAACATCAGGTTCTCCCCAGTGGTTGGAAAAGGGGCCAGAGTTTTATGAGGAGGATTGTAAAGAAGAGTAATTCTTCTGTGGAAGCTAGTTTGATTTAGTGTGCTTGGCCTGTACTATATATTATCCTGTGCTCAAACTGTAGAGTTTGGACAGGTTTATTCACACATGTAGGAAAGAAAGATATGCTGAAAGCTTAGGCGAAACATACATGGCTCGTAGCTTGATTGCTGTATCAGATGGTGACTTTTATCAATACATTATCTCAAATTGAATCGACTTCATTTTTTTAAAAAGTGGATTAACAGAATAGTGTTTTGAGTCAGCTGCAAATGATGCATATATAAACCTTTCCAAGGAATAGTTGAACTGTCAGAAGGATCCATCACTTGGTGAATGCTGATAAGGATGTCAACCCAAGTTTGTGTTAAGTATTTTTGCCAGTTAATATAAGCTTGGAATTCCTTGATATATCCAAAACAATCACCAGATATGCTTAAGAGATTGGCTGTTGTGATTCATGCATGGAAATGCATGAAGACTTTATTATGTATGTAGCTTGTGAAACATAATACTACCTTTGTGTACATATGCAAGGATGCCCCCATGTGAAAGCCTCTGAATGAATTTAGAACGTCAAAAGAAGTCTTGAAAACCTCTGGAAGTGTATAGGTTACTTTCAGAAGACTAAACATTTCATCACATAAAACTAAAGCAGTACATTGTGATGAGTTCCCTCATCACAAGGCGTAGACCACTCAAAATGCATATCTGAATGAGCTTTAAGTGTGTCTGGTCAATCTTCTATGTATAGATATAGTATATCTTTTGAGCACATTACTTCTAGAGAATAATAGCAAGAAAAGATTGGAGTGATAGACAAGGAAACAGTGCAAAAATTTGTCGTTTTGTTTTTGGCCAAACTCTGTAGACTTCTGCCGACCAGATACAGCAGTCTGCCTGAAGAATGAGTCCAAATATGTCAACTTAGGTGAGGTGGCTGAGGGACTACGAAGAGAAAATGGTGTTTTTGTTCTTAAATACATCAATGGAGATAAATGTCCTGACCAGATCCGCAAAAAGTCCACAATAATACGTTTGCTGTGTGATGAAGACAGAATTGTAAGTATGTCCCAACAGAGTAGATTTTACAGTGGTGGAAGGGAGAAGAACAGCTGCACATTTGGTGGGGGCATACGAAACCCTGAATCTGTGCATTTGACAGCTTTGGCATACCTCTGAACCTCATGCATGGTCCAACCCCCCCCCCCCTTAACAGTTGGCAGAGTAATGCAGATAACCAAACTGCTAAACACAGAGTAGCTGGTTTATGGGTTCCCTGTGTAGGGAACTGGCTAGGTGATGGTGAAAGCTGAGAGAGGGAGAGAGAGAGAAAGATTTGGTTTCAGTAGATGTGATAAGAGATTCGTAAATCAAACTGCAGTTTTGAAAATAAAAAGGGCAGATGCATTTGTGGCAGTCTGCTGTTTCCTGTGTGGTTTTTCTCCTTAAAGTAAATAGCTTTAGGGGGAAGGTCATGGACAGAGTCGAATGAAATTATGAAAATGGGGATTAAGTGCTCTTTCCTTTTGCACTGCCTCTTCAGCTACAGATTACAGGCTGAAATATGGCACAAGATTAGTTCATGGTTCTTCCCTCATCACATCTATGTAATTCCTCAGTGCCAGTCGCAATAACTTGGGTAGTACTTAAACTTCTGTCTTGGACTATTTCATCATCCGAGAAAAAGTTGCTGCTCCCTGGCAGCGACCATTACCGTATTTTGCTCCTTTATAAAAATCAGCCATACTCTTGTGCAACAGTTTTTCTATTGTTCACTCCCCCCCCCCCAATTGTTTTGTTCAGGACTCCAAGCCGGAACTCATAACGGAAATTGAGGAGTGTGAATATACTTTTCTGTGGCTCACTGCTGCTGCTTGTCCTCTGAAAAGCAACATACAGAATAATTGCAAAGTAACCAACCCCCTTACAGGTAACTTCTTTAGGCGCAAATGTGGGTCTGGCAAGGTAGTTACCGGAACTGGCTCTGAGCTTTCTGCCAGGGTGAGGGCAGGAGCATGCTCTTGGCTTTGGTTACTCACTGTTGGTTTCTATTTCACACCCTCTTGCTGAAAGGAAGACCAGTGGTACTTGGGCATCTTCTGCCTTTTGATGAAAGAAGGCGCTCTTCTGGTTCTTGCTGCAGGATTAACTTTCCCCCCTACCCTTATTCTCACACTTTCCAATTTCTTACAGGACATCTCTTTGACCTTAACCCTCTAAAGAGGCAGGATGGCTATACTGTCCATGACTTCAGGAACCGGAGGACAATCCAACTTCATGTGTGTGACGAAGCTAAAAGCCCCTGTGGTGGCGGAGTTGGTAAGATTCCCCTCCTCTCAGCAGCTTGTTAACTGATTATGAGCCTATCAAAAATACTCCTCCTCTCCCACGGAGATTTTATCAGTGAACAGTCTTCACTTCAACCCTATCTAAGTAGACAAAATCAGCAGTTGCTGGTTTGAGATGAGCGAAAGGGTACTCGTTCTGTTTACAGTCTCGCCGAAGAGCTTAGAGCTGCATTCAGGTATCGTGCCAAGCTGCAAATAAACTCCAGTCTAATTTAAATGTAGTTTGCTTGTGTGGGTATGTTCTTCTGGCCCCTCCTTCCTTCCCCTTTGTAGGAAAACTGGACACCAATCATGCTCTGCACACAAATGTGATTAAATCCTAATTTAGAATCTCAGCATATATGGAGGGAGGGTGGGAAACAAATTTTAATTTGCCTAGTCTGTACTCTAGATGCTGGAGTCTAGGTAATCCTGGTTTAATGAATTTTCACCACAAGCTTCTGTGGTAGGCCACTGTTACTCCCATTTTTACAGACTGGGAACTGAGCACAAAGAACTGCCTTAAGATAGTGAGTTACTGAAAAGCATGAATCCAGCATTTGTGGAGCCAGTTCTTTTTCTTCATCCCTACTCTTAGAGTTGGGTCCAAATTTGCTCTTGTATGAGCAGAAGATACTACTGTTCATGCAATGGAGAATCTGCAGTTTCTATAGATTAACTGCTCGCTCGTCCTCCTCCTCTCCATGTCTTATCAAATGTTCTCAAGGGTTCCTCAAACTTCGCAGATGGGGAGAATCAGGAAAAATTTGTTCTGTAACCAGAGTTCATGTTCTTTTGAATCTAACTCTTAGACAATGGACTTGGCCTCTCTTTTTTCTTTACTGAAGTCTTCAGACCAAGTCTTGCTCTGAATTACTTATAAAACTAGTGCAATTATTGTTCACTTGTGTTAAAATGTAGTTGATCAAGAGTAGATTTTAAAGTCCACTGACTGGATATTAAGGTGTCACCCCTTCTATATGGGGTTGCACCCCCCTCAAAGGAACAGGTGTGTTAGCTGGGCAGTTAGTTCTCTTTCACCCAGGCCTACTACTGGATCAGCAGAGTGCCTTTTGGCAGCTGTGACTAGTTAGCCAGCTACAGCCTTCCTTGGACAGAAAGGATCTGGCCACTGTGATACACGCCCTGGTTAATCTAAGTTTGATTACTGCAGTGCACTCTTCATAGGACTGCCCTTCAAAAGTGTTCGAAAATTTGAATTGGTACAAAGTGTTGCCATTAGAATGCTGATAAGTAAGATCATAAGGGCCATATCACTCCAGTCTTGGCCCATCTACACTGTCTCCCAGCTTGTTTCCGGGCACAATTCAAGGTGCTGATCTTGATCTTTAAAGCCATATATGTTTGGTAACAACATACCTGAAGAGCCTTGTACTCACTTATGAACCTACCTATGAACCTACTACAATCATCTTTGAAGGCATCACCACCTTCTGAGATTAGGTGTGTGACAACCCAGGAGAGGGCCTTCTCAGTTGTGGCACCAAGACTCTGGAACTTCTCCCCAGGGAGACTCATCTGGGCCCTTCTGTTGCCATCTTCTGCTTGCAGGTGAAAACTTTTTTGTTTCATCTGGTGTTCCCTCAGTGATCCTCCTTCCTGCACTATGTGTATTTTATTGCATTGTACATGTATTTTTAACTTGGCGTTAATTGTTTTAGTGGTGTGTTTTTGGTTTGGTTTAATGGTTTTTGAGATTTTTTTTAATTTATATTTTTAATCTGCTAAACCACCTTGGCGATTTTGAGGGTAGAAAGGTGGCGTATACAACTTGTAAATAAATAGAAATTGCTTTAACAGAATTTTTAAGCATTCTCAAAAACACTAATGTTGCACTCTTGAATTTGGTAACAGGTGTCTGCCTCACTGCTGGCCAGCAGCAAATTAATGCTGGAAGACTAAGCAAAATGTTAACTTACGAAAATAAAGTGTTGAAACTTGTCTACAAAGATGGAGACCCTTGCCCTGGAAATCCTGACTTGAAGTACACAAGTTATTTCAGCTTTCTGTGCAGGCCCAATGCTGGGCGTGGTAGCCAGCCTGTCATCGATGCCTTTGATGAGACGACCTGCACTCATGATTTCTCGTGGCACACTCCCTTAGCCTGTGAAGAGGAGAGGGCGGTAAGGGAATGGAAACGTTACCAAGTTCTGCTTACAGGAATCAGTATAGGAATAACAACTCTGCCTATGAATTGCATTTTATACAGGGGGTGGAGCAAATATTGTTCAAATCTTCCAGAGTTATCTTCATTTGTACTGAAGTTTTCAGATTCATAAAACTAGATTCGTGCTGCCTTGGCTTTTTTGGCTTTTTTGTAGAGGGATACACATTTTCTGATTAGACAGCCCTGCAAAATGTCTTTTAGCAAATAACTTGGGCCCAGTGCTATACTAATGCTGCCTGGGATTTTATGACAATGAGGGTATTTGTACTCCCCAACACTTAGCTCTTATCTTGACAGGGACATAGGGAACATAGCAGCAAAGGACTTTTTTTCTGGGGGAAAGCACTGGAATGGAGTTCCAGAACCTTTTCAACAAAATTATTTTTAAAACGTTTAAAAGTTAATGAGCTTTCAGTATACAGATTGAAAACTTCATTTCCCTCTTGAGAGTTCCAGCATCTCTCTCTCTCTTTTTTTTTTAAAAGAGCCCTGGCTGTAGGGGTTCTGAAACAGAGTTCCCATTAACGCTTAAGCTGCGTTAACTGTAGCTGGATGTCCCATTGCTCTGCAGGTGGGAGCAGGCAGTGAGAATGTGCATGTGGAGGCAGGGGTTGGGTGCAGAGGGAATGTGTGATCCCATGGCACAGCTACCTAACCCTGCGTAGCATGATGTCTATACTGGGCCTATGTATGTGCTGTGGTACAGGGCAGCAAAGCTGAGGGGAACGGTCCGAACGATATGTGACCTTTTCCCTGTTAATCCTCAGTGTGCCATCGTGCGCTGGAACGTGTAGCTTCTGATTAATTGAAAACCAGCCATGTTCTCCAAGCAGCAACAACTTCCCTAAAGTTAAATTGTCCTCATGAGGAAAGTACTCCCCAAAACGTAGCTCTTATCTTGACAGGGACATAGCAGCAAAGTAACTTCTGCCTTGGTTAGTTGCCCAGCCCCTGGACAAGTGTTGGCAGTTGCAGCCATTGGTCTGTGCTTCCAAATAAGCATGTTTGAGCTAGAACCTAAGACATGAGTGCTATCAGTTGTGTTTGTGAGAGTGCAAAGAGATGGGGTGGGGTGAAGTGCTTAAGAGGCCATGGTGAAATGTTGGTTAATAGGAGGGCCGAAGCACCAAGAAGAGCTGGGGTTGCTTATAACAATTCATCTGCTACACTTGGCTTAGCTACACTTGGCTTAGCTGGATGGTTTTCAGCTAGTAGAACTAATGTGCGTCAAGTGCCAATTTGTGAGGTTTCCCATTTTTCCCCTCCACAGATGGAATGCTCTGTTAAAAATGGCAGCACAATAATTGACCTCTCTCCTTTGATCCATCGAACGGGTTCCTATGAGGCCTTTGATGAAGATGATATGACCAACCTTGTTCCAGACTTCTATATAAATATTTGCCAACCTCTAAACCCGATCAAAGATGTCAGCTGTCCACCTGGAACAGCTGTATGCATGGTCCCAGTGACTGGCAATCCTGTGGTAAGTCCCACAGTCATTCCTCTTCAGCAAAATGCCTTATTTTGCTGGAATGCAGTTGCTAACAGACAGGTCCTTTCTAACAATAACAGGTAAAGCAATTGAGTTGGCCAGAGGCCCCGAGAAATAATCTTAGCAAGTCTGTTGCTTGGGGCTGTATGCCCTTTTACTGCCCGCCTTGTGCCTTTATACATCTCTCCCTCTCCTTACATACACTTGGAGGGCACTGTCAAGTAATTACTTCTGCTGGGCTGTGGCTTTGCACAGCTAAAGGTCATGCTCCCAGGGTGGGTTGGGGCTCATGCATCTTGAACAGCAGCACCCAATGTTGCATTGCAGGCCTCTTTTGAAACGAAGCAAAATGTCAAAAGCAGATTGTGGTATGGCATTGGGGTGAAGGAGATTGTCTGCTATTTAAATGGCTTTTTAAAAGTCTAGCATCACAGGGCAAGGGTGTGCATATAGACTTGAATCCCAGTCCATAAAACTGTGATGTGTTTTGGCGAAGGAAATCTTTTGGAATTTGACTTTAAATTTCTGTGTTGATGCTATACATTTCTAAAAGTTCCTTCATACCTATTGGTCCATTTTATAAACTAGGGAACAAGGCAAAGACTGAGAAACAGTGAATAATCTCCCTTTCTCTAACTCCCATAGTCTCCAGAGTCAGCCATTCTAAGGAACACACTTGGAGCTGTACTGCTCACATCATGCAGAATGAGGTAGTACTAGGGACTGTACCACTTCAAACTTCAAATGTAGGGGATCTCCACAATGGTACTTATTTTAGACATGCAGAGAGAGGTGGTATTTAATATGGGAGCAGCCTTTGAAAAAGCAGTCCTCCTTCACTCTGCAGTTGACATGGTACAGTCCAAGGATTCTGCTACCTCATTCTCTGTTTCATGTAGAACAGTTCTTAAGTGAATCTCGTTATTTCCAACCTAACCACCACTCAGCCCAGGAGAAACTAATTCCTCTCTTGCCGTATTTGATGTTGTGCAGAACTTTCAGGACTGCCTTGGTGCTCACTGACATTAATGAAAATCAGACCAGTAGTGATGTGTGAAATTATGATGACCAAAGTAACAGATTTCATCTTTTGTGTTTAGGATATTGGGCATATCCCTGCAATCCCCCAACTCAACTCTGTGACAAATGAAGTTTACATTACTTATAACAGTTCCACTCCTTGTTCCGCAAATAATGCGCTCAACTTTTCCTCTCGCATTGTATTTCATTGCAACAGAGGAACAAATATGGTAAGTGGTATCATGTTTTGATCCCTGCCACACTTGTATGTTCTGAAAACAATTATTTGAGCATAACAGAAGAAGAGTGATAAAACAGTACTGTTGGGATAGATTTTAAGTACACGCCTGGGTTTGCTCAACTTGCTTCAGTTACACCTGGCTGTTTTCTGTAGGCTTGGACTCTCTCTACACAAATCTTCCAGTCAAGCAGGTACACCATTACCTCGTCATGAATATTTCTTAGCATAAGAGGGTAGCAGTGCTTATAGCATAATAAACCTCCTTGCACAGATACCCATCCCCCCTCCTGAAATAATATTTGACTGAATTGCAATAAAAGGCGCTAGCCACTTTGAACTGAAGAACTGATCCAATGCCTTCCTAAGTTGGAACTCGGATACCATAGCCAGGCTTGAATGTGCAGCTGGGGAACATTTAAATAAGGTAGATTTATATATTCCGTATGTATTGCAAGGAGATCTTAATTTTTTTTGAGAAGGAATGGGGAAAAGGAAAGGTATAAGAATTGGGGCTGATGCTCTATACCAGTTGTGGCAGGAGGACAGGCATAGAAAAGCTTGTCTGTGAAGGGGTGTGTGGGTGTGACTAAATGTGGATGCCCTGTTTGCCCTGAATACCAGTTTCTGTGCTGTTTTATAAAAAGTACACTCAGTGGTTCTGCAGTTAATGTTCTCTAAACCTCTAAGGGCAGGGGGCAAAATGCTGTAACAGTTGCATGTGAGTGTCTGCAGTGAGCATCTCTCAAAGGAGATTCCTGCTTTTTATGTCTTGGAAGACATAAAACCGTATGGTTTTCAAGGCAAGAGATGCCTGCCTCTGCGTAGCAGCCCTAGACTTCCTTGGTGGTCTCCCATCTAAGTACGAACCGGGGCTGGCCCTGCTTAGCTTCCAACATCTGATGATTCCAGTAACCTGTAAATGAAAACATAATTAGGGGTACCAACCAATTTTTAAACAATACTTGATGCATGAAAACCTCTTATGAATATGTCTTAGCCTGAGTATAACCGTATGACAAACCTCCCACTTAACCTTTATGCTATGACAGAATTAACGTCTGTTGCTATTTCATTTCTGAAGGCTACAGCTTGTTCTTTCGTTCCTCTTATTTGAGCATCTGGAGGTCCAGGCCTTAAACTATTTTCTGTTTCCTTGTTTGTGCTTTGGTCATAGGGAAAGCCAAAAATGATACACAGACTTGACTGTGAATACCTGTTTGAATGGAGCACTCCAGTTGTATGCCCTGATGAAGTGGATGTTTTGGGCTGCTCAGTGACTGATGAGCGGTTACACTACACTTTTAACCTCTCCGGCCTTTCCAGGCAGTCTCACAAGGTGATGTGACGTGGCCAGTAAGGGAGCTATATGCTTTTAAACCAAATTACCCTTTCTGCTCAAAGTTTCTGAATCCAGCTATTGCAGCTTTGAAGACCAGAATGACTGTTGATTTATCTAGTTTGCATTTGTTCAGTTCTGAAAGCTTTTGAAGCTAGTGCTGGAAGATCCAGCATTAGTATGTTTCCCTGGGTGACCCTAGAGATGTAAAATTTCTGGGAATTTTGATGTCGTGATGAAAAAATGTCCCCCTCCCCAAAAAACATAAATTGGGAGAAACTGAAATACATGCAATAATTATTGCCCTATCAAACCTAAACTAATTTTACAGCTTTAATAACATAAAATGCATCATTTGTAACTTAGCATATAAAATTGGAGCATCTGACTTATTTATGGAATTTAAAAAATATAAATGCCTTAATTTTCTATAAGCAAAATTGCAAATATACCCAATACTGGAGAGAGAACTAGAAGCTGATGCACCCTATGCAAAAATTAAGGTACATGTGCAGTCTAGTTAGAGAGAGCTCAGTTCTTAATGGAACTTTCAGAGTTTTCTTCGGAGGCTTTGATGCAGTTTCTGCTCTACCTCCTTCTGATCTTTTCCCCCCTCCAACAAGGTAGGGCAATAAGCAACTTCCTATCCAGTCTGTGGGTATGTGTGTCACAGTGGTTTGAGGGAGAGATGAAAAGGTCAACCACAAGTCAGGTCTAAAGGACAACAGCAGGTATGCAACAGCTGAAAAGCAGCGAAAGCCCTGCATACTCTCCTCATAAAGGTTAGGTATCTTAGTACAGAAATGTATCTTGGATGTAAGAGCTGTCTGTGTCTACCGTATGCCCACCTTGTCTTTAAAAGCATTTCACTAATTCTAAAAGAGAAAATATTTCATAAGAGTTTATTTCAGTACTCCCCCAAATTTCTTGTTTTTCTGTTGGAAGAATTGGGGGGTGAGGGCTTGTGAAGAAAAACGGGGGGGGGGGATCCAGGTTTTTTCTGGGCCTTCATATTTCTAGGTGACCCCACAGAATATCTATTCTTCCAGAATGGAACCTTAAACTGCTACATTCCCTGCTTTTCTATGCAATACCGGGGAAACCCCAGGACTATCAGTCTTTTGTAAACAATGCTTGCCTGAGAACAACACCGAAGCAGATTACTGTCTCAAGTTAATATGTATCTTAAACTGCACTACTTAGTTGAAACTGAGATTAGCAGCCACTTGCAGCATTCAAACTCAATATGACAGCTTTCACTGAACTTTCCTACTGCTCAGCACTAATGTTGGGTTGGATTCCCTGTTTTCTGTACCAGCACTCTTCTTTGCATATCAGTGCAGTTAAACATTATTTGTTCATCCTTTTTGCAATTCAGTAATGCATGGTATTGGCTTCCCACACAGGTTTCTTCCGGGTCTAGGAATTACCATGTTGGAGTGTGTTCCAGTGCAGCTGATGTGCCCCAAGGAAAATGCAAAGATGCAGCAGTATGCCTGGTCTCAGGCATGAGTGCTGCCTCATTTGGTAACATAAAGCAAATGAAGATGGATTATCGGCATCAAGATGAATCTATCATTTTGCAGTATAAGGGAGGTGATAGGTGTCCTCCAGGTAAAGCTTTATAAAATTGCTACCAACAAACCAGCAAATGTGTTCCTTTAGCTTCAAGATGGCTTTTGATCTACCCCATAAATTATGTGAAGGATAATTAGAGATGTGAAGGAGCGAAATGGTCATATCTTTTCATAATGCTGAGTGTGTCTGATCCTTACATTTTGCGGACTATAACCAGGAGGTTGTCAAGGTTCATATGTCAGGCTTGCCCTGATACTCAAAGGCTGTTCAGAGCTCAGTTAAGGAGCCTTTTATCCATCCCTTTCCTCCTTATGATGTGAATAAGGGGAAGTTTACCACCAGAACAACCAGAAGGGAAAGAAGTTCTCATGATAATCACAAGATGTCTGAAGTTCCTCCTAAGCATGGGAGACTGGTCATATTAGTCACAAATCCTGTTATTAGTCATTATGAGTTACTGCCTGTCATCATTTTGGGTACCTGCTGAATGGTGGGTGCCTGTCTGTGGTAATAACCTGCCTAAGATAGATCGTGTTCATTTGCGTAATATTTTGTATTCTGCTTCTCCAAAAAGGTTGAGACATTTTACAGAGAAGTCATGTTGGATCAGGCCAGTGGCCCATCCAGTGCAGCACTCCGTGTCATACAATGGCCAAAACCCAGGTGCCATCAGGTGGTCCACCAGCCAGGGCCAGAACTCCAGAAGTCCTCCCACTGTTTCCCCCCCCCAAGCACCAAGAATACAGAGCATCACTGTCCCAGACATAGTGTTTCATCAATACCTTTTGGTTAATAGCCACTGATGGAGTGCACCTCACAGTCCTTCCTGGTTCTTACCTCCCTGAACAACTTAGTGTAATCCGCAAACTTAGCCATTTCACTTCTTACTCCTGACTCCAAATCATTAATGAACAGGTTAAAAAGCATCGGACCTAGTACCAAGCCCTGTGGTACCCCACTGCTTATCACCTTCCACTGTGAAAACTGCCCATTTAAACTCACTCTTTTTCCTATTAATTACCCAGTTTTTAATCCACAAGAGGACTTGTCCTCTTATCCCATGGCTGCTGAGTTTACTTAGGAGCCTTTGATGAGGAGCTTTATTAAAAGCTTTCTGGAAGTCCAGGTAAACAACATCTATTTGGCCACCCTTGTCCACATGTTTGTTCACCCTTACAGAATCCATGCTGCAGAACAGATCTTCCCTTACAGTCCAGTGGCACCTTTAAGACCAACAAAGTTTTATTAACAGTATAAGCTTTTGTGTGCAAGCGCACTTCTGTGTGGATTCTTCCTCCAGAGCTTTTGTTCATCAGTGTGCCTACTAATTCTATTTTAATAATGGATTCCACCAACTTACCTGGTATCAACGTAAGACTGACCAGCCTGTAATTTTATGGATCTCCTCTGGAACTCTTTTTAAAGACAGGGGTTACATTAGCTACCTTCTAGTCCTTGGGAATGGAGGCAGATTTTAGTGATTGCATATTTTTGTCAGGAGATCCACAAGTTCACATTTGAGTTCCTTCAGAACTCTTGGATGTATGCCTTCTGAATTTGTCCATCAGTTGTAGGGCCTCCTCTCGTCAACTTGATCGGACTCAGGTCTTTTAACACCCCTCCTGGAATTGGTGATTCTGGAGTGGGCGAGCACCTCCTATCTTCCATAGTGAACACAGAGGCAAAAAATGCTTTCAGCTTCTCTGTCATTTCCCTATCATCCCTTAGTAATCCTTTTAACCTCTTGATCATCCAATGGTCCCCCTGCCTCCCTGGCTTGTTTTTGCTTCTAATGTATTTGAAGAATTTTTTAGTGTTGGTCCTTATGTTTTTTGCAATATGTTCCTCATAGTTCCTTTTTGCCTGTCTGATCACTGAATTGCATTTTATTTGCCAAAGCCTGTAGTCCTTTTTTATTTACCTCACTTGAACTAGCCTTCCACTGTTTAAAGGAATCCTTCTCACCTTTTACTGTTTTACTTTGTTCATTAACCATGCAGACTTCTTAAATACCTATTTGTACCTTTCCAAGCTTGCAGTATACATTTTATCTGAGCTCCTAGGATTGTAGTTTTAAATAGTCTCCAAGCTTCTTGAAGGGATCTGACCCTCCTTACCTTTTATTTCAGTTTCTTCTTCATAAGCCCCCTCATTTGACAGAAACTACCCCTTCTAAAGTTAAATGTGGTTGTGTTGGTCTTTTTGGGCAACTCCCTACTTACATAAATGCTAAACTTAATAGCATTATGGTCACTGTTCCCAACTGGTGCTATCACGTTTACATCTCTCACCAGGTCTTGAGCATTACTTAGGACCAAGTCCTCCCCCCTCGAAGGTTCTGTGACCATCTGTTCCATGGTAAAGTCATTGAAAGTGTCTAGAAACCCAGTCTCTTTTTCCTGACGAACACATAGACCCAGTCAATGTGTGGGTAGTTAAAATCACCTATTATGGCACAGTTATTTCATCTAGGTGCTTTCCTTAATTCTTTTGCTGTTTTAAAATCATCCTCTAACCTTTGATCTGGTGGGCAATAATAAACTCCCAGAGTTAAGCTTCCTTTTGGGCACTCTGTTTCCACCCATAGCATTTCTATAGGTGAATCTGGTTCGCTTAGATTCTCAGTTTTACTGGACTGTATAACCTCTCTGACATACAGAGCCACTCCACCTCCAACCCTTCCCTCCCTATCTTTCTGATATCATTTATACCCAGGAATCACTGTATCCCACTGATTATTCTCATCCCACCAAGTTTCTGAAATGCCCACAATATCTATGTTCTCCTCTGACACTAAGCACTCCCCCATTTTAACTTGGACACTTCTAACATCTATAATTCCCCAGACACATTGGACCTGCACACTTCGTCCTCTGGCCTCTAGACCTCTAGACCTTGTCAGATAGTCAGTATTGTCTGTCACCCTCTCAGTGGCCAGTCCTAATCCATTTCCTTCTAGAGATGAGCCATCCCAAACCAGGGACATCTCGTCTCCTGTCAGCTTTCCCTGGGATTTAGTTTAAAAACCGCTCTGCCACCTTTTTTATTCTAAGCACTAGCAACCTGGTTCCTTTGCGGGACAAGTGGAGGCTGTCTGCCATATTGAGGAGTCTCCAGGCCTTCTACCATTACTTTTTTTGTTGTTGCAGAGGTGGTGTGCTTCTGATTGCCAGAGGCTGGGGGCAAACAGGAGGGCATGTCTTGCTTCTGGGCTTCCCAGATGCATTTGTCAGGTTACTCTAGAGAACAGAATTACTTTCCAGTACTCTTGCTGGTTGGATACATATATTTATCTGAAAGATACCTTCTGCTAAAGAGTGCCTTTATCTCAGAATGGTGGGATAATACTTTCTGTCATACAAACTGGCATTCACTCACTGTATCTCTTTGATAACAAGGGTTTTGCCCTTCTGTCTCATCTTATACTCTTGCAAACAGAAGGCTGAAGTAAATCTATCTTTTAATTTATTTATTTTTTATTTACTCAGATTTGTACCCCGTCCTCCCTGCCTTGGGGCCCTCGTAAAAAGCAGGAGCATCTGCTAATAAGCAGCACAAGGGGTAGCCTCCAGCCCGAATACCATCTGTGCTAGCTGTCTCCACACTTGCACATGATTGATTCGATATCCTAGTTGTCCACCGTACAGTACAGTGGCTGAATCAACAGCTCTTCACTGTTGCATGCTGCCAGTCCAGTCTTCGGATGATTAAAACCTGTGGAAGATCTTGTCTCATTTAAAATGGAGTGCTTTGGGTGCAAACAGTATATTTTATTGATGGAAGCCTTTTTTTTTTTTTTACAGTGACTGAAATGGATGAGCTTTGTGTCTTCCCTTTCTGGTATAAGGGCGTCAGATATGAGAAATGCGTTCTGGAAGGGCAACAACGGCCATGGTGTGCTACCACTGATGATTTCCAAAGGGACAAAAAATGGGGATTTTGTGGAAATGGTAAGGAATCTTCTCTCTCTCTTTTTAAAGTGCTTATAGTATCTATTGTGTGGTGTCAGTTATCGTGGTGTATTTTGTAGTTTGTACTGTTTTGTCAAACACGACTGAATGGCTAACAACAACAATTGTTTTGTTAGCTTGTGACAAATATGAACAGTCAGGAATGTTACACAGAACATTGTGTGTGTGTGTGTGTGTATGCTCACTCACCCTTTATGGTTTGAAATAAGTGGGCTGTAACCATATAATGTAAAATGAATGCTATAGTAAATATTTTGGAGGCTATTTCCCATAATTTTTAGAACTCAATTTTGAAACTATTTATACTGTTTTTTCAGTAAATAGGAAGTATTCCATACAATATTACCCACAGTGCAAAATGAGCACAAAATGAGGCAGCCATGGCTCAGTGGGCTTGGCATGCAGAAGGTCCCAGCCCAGGTTCAATTCCAGGCATCTGGCATCCGTTGATGTGAAGGACCTCTGCATTAAGACCCTGGAGAGCCACTGCCAGTCTGAGTAGACAATACTGACCTTGATGGACTAAGAGTCTGATTCAGTGTAAGGCAGCTTCATGTGTGAGTTTAACTAGTTCAGGGGGGCAGGTCCACTGGATTTTCAGGTGATGTAGGCTCAGATGCTGTATTTACACTTCTCCAACAAATCCAAGTTTGTTTGGATTTTCAAATGATGTAGGCTCAGATGCTGTATTTACACATCTCCAACAAATCCAAGTTTGTTTGCGATACAGATAAACATGACTCGCTGTCCCAAAAACAAACAAACAAACAAAAAGACTCCCTGTCCCATCCCTTTGTGCACAAAGCTGAGATTGAAGACTTCATTCATCTAACCACAATCTGCTGTAATGTTCTTCAAAATGAAATTTTAAACCAGGATTAAACTCTGGTTTTCGAGGCTTTAATTCTTTCCCCAGGCCATCAGTACACTAAACATCTGTGGACAGGCAGACAGTACACTTTGTATGTGGAGAGGTAACTTTTGTGGACTTATTTGCAGACTCTTTCTGGACTCTCAAACTCAGAGCTTTCTTTGTTCTGCTTTATTGGGCACAGTCTGTCACATGAGCAGCTTTTATATTGTTTTCCTTTTGAGTCTGACATGAAAGCCACTGTTCTGACAACGTAAATGTTCTGAATATACAGGACTGGCCATGATCACAGAAGTTCATCCCCAGGGAACTATCTGCACATTTCCCCCAAGTGCTAAATTGCTTCACACACCAGTCCAACATGGCTACATACAGAAGGACTAACAGTCCTTTTTCTCCCATCTGTTTTCTCCCATCTATTAACAAACCTGAGTTGTAGAAGTTAGATTTAATTTCTCACAGTGGTAAATGTTTTTCCTTGTCTTCCAGTAACTGGGCATAGGGAGTCGACTTTTATTTTCAAGTGTGATGACAGCGCTGGTAATGGGAGTCCTCGACTTTTAAGTGAGACCCTTGACTGTGCTGTGACATTTGAATGGAAAACACAAGTGGTGTGCCCACCCAGGAAAATGGAGTGCAAATTCATTCAGCAGCACAAAACGTATGATTTGAGAGTGCTCTCCTCACTCACAGGATCATGGATGTTTGCTGACAAGGACAGCTTGTAAGTAGTTTGTTTCTGTATGTCTCGTAGAAACCTAGCCAGTTCACTTTAGCTGGAAGAGTCGTGCCCTTTTTCTTGGTGAGCTGACTGAATATTTGATCAAGATGAAAGACTGCATTGTCCAGGAAACTAAATGTGCCTGTGTTACTTTGAAGTCACTGACACTAAGCCACACTTCGCTCTGGTTCTGCACTTCTTGGGAATCCTATACATTTGATCTCAATAAAATAATGTTTGCAATGAACAGGCACTTCAGAATGATCCTGGGAAGGTTTATAAATTGGAAAGGGGTGTGCATTAAGCAGAAATGCCAGTGTGCCTCTAGTTGACACACAACGTAGGGGGTGATGTTGGAGTACCAGGTTCTGTATGAGTCGAAAGCTGCCAAACTTAACAGGATACTGCTGAGAACAATAGAGGGTTATAGAAAGCAAAAGGCGTGAGGGAGACCGGGGACACTGGATCTGTGTAAACTTGAGGGAGGGAGGGAGAAAACGAGATGGTAGAAATGCTCTAAAATATAAGGGCAGTCCAGCAACTAAACATTCAGGATTGGGAGTTCTTTTGGAGGTTGATTTGGGTCGTAGTTGGCCAGTCTGTAGCATGGATGCCCCAAGAGGAGGCAGCAGAGAGTACTGTTCAATAACTGGGGCCACTGAGTATGTGTGTTGGGAGGAGAACTAGAAAAACAAAATTCTCAGGGCCTGGGTTTATTGTTATGCAAGACTGCTGCTGATATAATAACTGTCGGTTTTTTGCTTTATAGCTTAAGCCATGAGCTTCTGTAGGACTCCAATCACATGTCAATCTTTTTTTTTAAACTGAAATTATAGCACATGCTCTCATGTAGCAAGAAGGGTTAAAATGAAAGAATTTTGCTCCTAGAGAATTTCTACTGCCTTAAGCACTGATGAGTTTCTTCCTGATCTTCCTCACTGTGTTGTGGGGAAGGGGGAGCCTCTCCAACTTGAGCAGCAGGGCCCAGAGTCAGGCTTGCACTTCTGCTTCACGGTCTTGTCCATGGAGGAAGCAAAGCCCCCACCTAAGCATGTATGTGTAGCAGTGCAATACTTGGAATGACAGGCAAAATCAAAATAAATAAAGCTCAGTTAGCATCATTGATCGAGGCTGCAGAATTCAACTTTTCTCGACGTAGATTTTCTGTTACTAACCAGTTGAAAGCACATAGACCTGTCAAAGTGAAATCCTATATTTGCTTGACTAGGGGTGGGGGGTGTTCAGGGTCCAGTGCTGAGCTGCCACCTTTTTATTTTATTTTTTTAAAACAGCTACTACATGAATCTCTGTCAAAGAGTCCATGAAGGGCCTTCTGGCTGCCCTGAGCAGGGGAGCCTCAGTGGGACTGTAGAAGTTCTGGGACTGGTACATACACAGATGCTGAATGTGATGGGTATAGTATTCTTTTTTTTTGAGCCCTTGCTATGGCAGGTTTCCTATAGTTATCTGTATATTATTTTAATGACATGCATCCTAACTTTATACCAGGGTATTTGAAGGAGCATCTTCTCCCATACGTTCTTGCCCAAGAATTAAAATTGCAGGGAGATGCCCTCCTGACTGTCCTACCAATTAAAGAGGCTTGTTTGGTGGGTACCCAAGAGAAGGACTTTTCTGTGGCAGCCGCGAAATTATGAAACAGCCTCCCTAGGGAGGTGCACCTGGCCCCCTCGTTGATCTTCAGGAGGTAACTGAAGACAGTTTTATTTAGGGCTGCATTTGAAATTATGAAACAGCCTCCCTAGGGAGGTGCACCTGGCCCCCTCGTTGATCTTCAGGAGGTAACTGAAGACAGTTTTATTTAGGGCTGCATTTGATTGGTTTAACTTTTTTATTGGTAGTCCTAATTGGAGTTTTTCGATTGTGACTTTTTATGGGTTTTATAATTGTTTTAATTGTGTTCCACAAGGGAGAAAAGTGGCTAATAAATGAAATTTAAAAAATACCTAAAAATTGCCTATCTACCTTGCTTCTGCAAACATTTGAAATGATTGTCATATTTTTGTTGCCCCCCCCCACCCCAGAAACATAGAAACCAGAGCTGTGACAGAGTTGTGTTCTGATCTGAGACATTTGGCTGTAAGACTTGAGGGGCATATGGATTGTGAAGAAGTGGTAGTAGGGATAGCAGAAGGGAGTGTTTTGAAGCATTGCTTGCTTGCCACACTTTGCAAGCACACGGTGGTTCTTCTGTTGCAGGTGATAAAATTCTTGTGAATTACTCCAATGGGCATGAATGTCTACCCAGACACAAGAAAGCAACAACAGTGATAGAACTGAAATGTGCAAAAACCGTTGGTATGCCAAGACTGGCTAGGTAAGTACAGAGGCTGTTAACTGGCCATTGCAGTAGGCTCAGGATCTCCTTGCATGTTACCGCAATGAACCAGTGTGTGTTGCATATGCTACGTGGACTTCTAGTGTTCCTTGCTATGTGAGGGAAGGAAAATATTCCTCACTGCACGGCCATACCTTTGGCTATTTGGCAGCTCACAGTATATTTAGTCTTTCCTTTAAGCACTGTGCTACCTTTTCATTTAACTTCATAATCCCAAATTCTCGAACCTTTGGGTTGGATCCCAAGGTTCTGTTCCACTAAGTCTCTTGATGTTGGCAGAACAAGCTCCTTTCTTCAGAGCCGCAATCTACTATTCATGGGACAGAACCTTCAGATCCAAAGGCTTCATAATCAGCTGCAGAAAATGTTTATTTATATATATGAATAAATAAATTTTATATGTGTGTGTGTATATATATATAAATAAATCTTGAAAGATAAGCATGGGATATATATATATATATCCTGTGCTTACCTTTCAAGAATTTTTTCTAGCTTCCCACTTCTTCAAAACTGCTCCCCTTTCTCAGTTCCTTGTTGCTAAGCAGTGCAGTCCTATGCTGAGACTCTCCATTCTCAGCCAGTTGGCTTCTGATAGAGCCGCACTGCAAAAACAGTATCTGTGCAGAATGCATTTGCTTCCACTCTTGCACTTTCCCCCTTCCTTTCATACAGTGTTGATTTACTTCTGAGATGGGACGGCATAATCTAATTTTCTTAGAATTGGAGGATGCCCTTTGAAGAAGGGCATGGGATGCTGGGAGGAAAAGAAATGCAGCATTTCTGTGTATTAGAACAAAGTTTGAGTCCAGTGGCACCTTTAAGACCAGCAAAGTTTTATTTGAGGTGTAAGCTTTTGTGTGCAAGCACACTTCAATGTGGCTGAGAAAGTGTGCTTGCACACGAAAGCTTACACCCAGAATAAACCTTTGTTGGTCTTAAAGGTGCCACTGGACTCAAACTTTGTTCTGCTGCTTCAGACCAACACGGCTACTCAACCTGAATATTTCTGTGTATTGGAGGTTATAAGGCTCAGATTTTGTAGAAGACTGTATCATGTCTACTCCATAACTCACAGGGAGGACTGCGGTTGTGACTCGCTGTTCCTTGTGGGTCCAGCTACCTAGGGAGGAGGGGAGAAATGACGTAGGGCATGTGGTAGCTAGATGGAAACATGATATGTTGCTTCCAGGTTTGAGGTGTATGTAGGATATATTTAAAGGCTGAGGCATACTACCTGGTAGATAATAGAAATAAAACCACAGGAATGTAGTAAAGGTCATGAAAAGCAGATCCTCAACTGTACCAAGTGTTTTATCATCATTTGGTTTCCACTGAAAAGCCATTGATATGTAATACCGATAAATGCTTTTACTGACATCTCAGTATTTTCTGTTAGGATTGATGAAGAAAATTGTACCTATTATATTACATGGGAGACTCGGGCTGCTTGTGCAGTGAAACCTCAAGAAGTAGAAATAGTGAATGGCACGATTACGAATCCAGCAACTGGGAAGAATTTCAGTTTGGGTGATGTATATTACAAGTAAGTAAACTACAGGAACAATATCTGCAATTATAAAGCTGGGCCACAAAAATCCAACCACCTGGTAGCCAGTGATTCCATTTTAAAACAGGACTGTCACAACCAATGCTCCCTCTAAGCTGTGGAGTCTTGTCAGCAAAAATTCTACTTTGTGAGCTACTGGCATTAAAATTCTGAGTGAGCGATTTGGCTGCTAGTTTGCTCTGGAGCCATTCTTCCTGAGCTAAGACAAAAATGTGTGAGCCGGAGGCTAAAAAACTGTGAGCTAGCTCACACTAACTCACCTTAGAGGGAACACTGGTCACAACCAGGAAATTACCTCAGCAAAACATGTGATTACTATTCTCAGACTTGCTGAGGCTTTAAACAATGATTACTAAGTAGTCATCTTTTTTTTCTTTAAAAAAGGGGGGGGGTTCTAGGCTGTGTTGCATTTTGAATCTGGCTCTTCTACTCTCAGTCTGTTAGTGGCTTAATTTTTTAGCTCATGCTGCAGGGGCATTGTTAAATCAATCCTACTGAGTAAGAGTCCAGATGTTAATCCTGGCGTGATCCAAAAGTGTTTAATATACTGGCAGTAGTGTGTGGCACAAAGAATTAAAAACCCTAGACCAATTAGTGGGGCCTGGAAGAAATTGCATGTCTCTTCCTGAAGGGGTGGAGTAGAGATGTAAAATTTCCGGAAATTTTGAAGCTTGGAAAAACCCCCGGGTTTTTTCCGGGGTTTTTTGGGAAAAAATGGAAATTTTCGGAAAAATTGAAAAAAATGCTACATTAGCATTTCTTTTGTCTTTTCTAGATTGAAAGTCATTCTGTTACTTTAGGAACATAAAAAATGACTATGGACATTTTTACTTGGCATGAAATTATCACAACTAGCATATTAAAAATATAGTGTACCCAAACAATTATTACAAACAGAATACCCACCCACATGCAAAAACAAAACTGAAACCTTTTTATTTTCTTCTGACAATCGCACCTCCTAAAGGAAGAAATGCATCTTGTTCTTGCATTGGAGAGTTCAGTTTGTAACCTAGGACTTGCTTGTCCTCAGTGCACAGAAATTAGATCAATCTGATACCATTATATATTTTAGAAATGATTTGGAAAATATTTGAACACCTTGTCTTAAAATATTTTATTTATCATGTTAAAATAAAACATTCCATAATCAATTTCTTTTCTTTTCTTTTTTCAATTTTTCCAATTTTTCGGAAAAAAACAAAAAAGCTTCAGGGAAAAAAACGGGGAAAAAAAACACGTTTTTTTTCCGAATTTTTCTGGTTTTTTTCCGGGCCTTCACATCTCTAAGGGAAAGATACCGAATTGGTGTGAGAAGAACTGAAATTTTTACCTTGAGTAGTACATTCTTATAATCAGAGTGGCAAGAAGAGATGCTTGAGGTGACTGGCAATGCTAAGCTTTTATTCTTGGTGTTACAAGCTAAATTTTGGAACTTTTATTTAAACATGCTGTGTTTCAGATTATACACTGCCTCTGGTGATATCAGACCAAATGGTGACACCTACACTTACGAAATTCAGCTTTCATCTATCAATGATACCAAGCATCCAAAATGCTTGGGAGCCAATATATGCCAGATTAAAACATCGGGAGAATTGTTCAGGAGAATTGGGTCTTCTAGCAAAACTAAATATTATATTCAGGGTAAGTGCCTACTTGATGTACTAACATAACTTTACTCCATTATAAAGGCTGGCAGTGACTAGGGTTGCCAAGTCCCCCTGGGGGGCAGGGAAACCCCCACCCCAGAGGCCCGTTCCCCACCGCCGGCGAATCGGGCCCCAGGGGGAACCCCACCCCGACGTGCACGTCACCCAGAAGTGACACGACGACGCCGGGCACGCTGGGGGTGGGGCCACGGTCATCCGAGGGAAAACTCTATGGTTTTCCCTCGGATGGTCGTGGCCCCGCCCCCAGCATGCCTGGCGTGGTCGCGTCACTTCCGGGTGACGTGGATGCGGCGTGTGTGTGCTTCGTGTGCGCGCACCCCAGCCGCCGGCCGGGAGTCCCCTGCTGCGGCAGAAATGACACTTGGCAACCCTAGCAGTGACACTGGGGGGAGGGTGCTTTCCAAATATCTCAGAACTCATTTCAGTGGAATCTATGATATGGAGTTTGGCTACCAATAGTTTAGACTACAGGTTTAGACTACAAATTTCCAACTGAGTGGCCCAGTCATCTCCCAACCTGTATCTCCAGGTCCCAAACCACTGCCCTTCCTGTCCTGAATTATTTGTTAAGGAGTTGCTGCCACATGGAGGTATTTTTCCAGTTTAGCATCCAAAGTAGAGTGTGTGTGTTGGGGTGGAGGGGCATCCACTTTTCTGGATTTTCCCTACTTTGATATATCTTTTCCATATCTGGTTTTGTGCAGTCTTTCTGGAAAGACTGCAAACAATACATCTTTGCAAACTGTGAACAGGAAGGTGCACATTTTTAATGTCCTGCCTGCAGTGACCTGCAGTGACAGCATTTTCCTTGCCTGGCTGTTCCCCCCCCCCCCACCTCCCTCACTCACACCAGCTGAGTTTTTTCAGTCTTTTATAAAATCTGCAATTGCTAGATCACTACACCACAATAACATGAACTGTCTGTTGCCATTACTTCCTTTTCTACCACCTCGGGTCAAAAAGATCTAGAGGCTGACATCTTTTTAAATGAAAGCTGGGAGGTTTATTGGGGCTAGGTGATTGTGGCAGTAGGTAGTGTTACTGAGTTGTAGTTTCCTAGCCGTTGTCAACTTCAAAAACAAACAGCCCTCAGGGGCGGCAGGAGAAATAGTAACTTCAGAGTCTTGGAGCATTTTTAATGACTAACAACTGTAAGTGTGTGTGGGCTGCAGTTCTTTGTCAGCTGCATGAACTGCTACACTCAGTTGCCAGAAGGAGGCAAGAACAGCAGAGGTTGGGTCTGGGCGAACATTATTACAAAGTAAGTGTGGAAGGCCCAGCAGTCCTAGCGGTAGTTGTTACATCACTATGCAAAGTACCAATAAAAACAAGGTCCAGACAAAAGAGTAAATCCAAACTGTTCCAGCAGATGAGGATGAATTGACATTCAGGTTAATGTCTCTGCCCCCTTTTAAAGGTTTAACTACATTGTCTTGTGAGCCACTTCTGCTATGGCTTCAGTTACCTGAAATTCAGAATAAATATTTGATCGGTTTGGATGGCAGTAGTCGCAACACAGTTGCAGTAACGTGGTGATCTCCTCCATCAGTCTTCACTATAATAGATTAAATGGGAACGTGTTGCTTTTTTGTTTCGTTTGCATTTTATGGTGAAATCATCTCTGTCTTCCCTTCTTTTGTAGATGATGATTTGGATGTCGTGCTGTCTTCCAACTCCAAATGTGGTAGAGATGATACAAAGTTTGCGTCCTCGACTATTTTCTTCCACTGCAGCCAGCAGGCCAAAGAAGGCATCCCCGAATTCCTTCATGAGTCATCAGACTGCCAGTACTTGTTTACTTGGTACACCTCAGCAGTTTGTCCACTAGCGTAAGTGAAACCCACCCACCCACCTTCCAGTTAACCTACAGGATAGGAAATCATGTCTTTACTTATGGCATGGAATGGAATAGCAAAAGGCTTGTTCCAGGTCCACAGTGGAAGTTTACAGCTCAGAGTGGAACGTGGAAGGAACCAAGCTCTACATTCAGAGGGGGGGGAAGGCCTTGGCCTCTAGTCCTGTTAATTGGCCCTCCAGGCAACTGGTTGGCCAGTGCATGAAACAGCATGCTGGGCTAGATGGACCTCTGGTCTGATCCGTATGACAAAAAAAGGGGAGAAAAACACAACCCCCTACATGAGAAAGGTAACCAAAAAGGTTGAGACACAGAAAAAGAAACTTAAAAATAGCTATGTATGTTGTCCTAATGTATAAAATATCATATATAATTCAGTTATTTTCCAAAGTGCTAAAATATCATTTATCATTTAAAACATCTGCTGTTTTTCAGACATGAATTTGAAAGGATCGTAATGAGGTGGGGGGGACAAAAGAAAAACCTTTCCTCAAAACCGATAGTTCTGTTTCAGAGAAGCTAATATTTGAAAGGTTGACCACTTGTGGGTTCTTAAAATTTTCTGTTTGTGTCCCATTCTGGGTTCTCCCATTTTTGTTAAATTTATGGAGTGCTCTCCATAAATTTTTACCACTGAGGAAGGCTTTTAGCCAAATCATGTTTGGTATTGGTTCTTGTATATGGATATAATTTGTACCTTTTAACCTGTATTTATATGATTGGACATTTGTCTTTATATTAGGATTAGGTACTCATATGTGGGCTATATCCGGCTATATCCGGGAAGGGCGGGCTATAAATGTGAAGAAATAAAAATGCAGAACCATAGGATTGTGGGTTTTACCTGATATTTTAGCACTTTTGAAAGTATAATTAAATTATATATGATATTTCTTACATTAGCACTACATGCGTAGCTATATTTTAGTTTCTTTTACCTTTTCTCAACCCTGTTAGTTACCTTACCCACTGGTCTGATACGACAGGACTGCCCCTTTTGTTCTTAGCATGACCAACACTTAATGAGGAAACACAGTAGTGACTGTTTTGCCGTCATTCTGTGGTATATTAGGCTGCCAGAAAGCTGCTCAGTGATAAATTTTAACTGATCCTGAGCTAGCATTTCACTGCCCTTGATTTAAAGATTCATAAATTTCAAGTGAAGCCTGTATGAAAATGAAATGCCATTGATTGTGCGTCCTGCTGGCATAAAGTCTAAGGACCACCGGCTTCAGACATTTTCACGTATTACATCTTGGTGGAGTTCTTCCTAGCTTGCATGCCTCCAAACCTGAGCCCAATCCTAGTATGTAAATGAGCCCTTTGGAGGTAACCTGGCACCTGTGACAATTAAGGAACATTGGCGATGTGGCCATGTTGAAAACTCTGGTGCAGGGAACATTAAGAGGTCTCATTAAAAGAACAGTTCAATTTTGCTGGTCAGCTCCAAACAGAGATTAAGCAACTAGAGTGAAGATGAACCTATGACTTTGGGACCCGTTTTCTCCATGTTTCACAGCAACCAGCTTGACAAAACCTGTTGATTCCTCAGTATGTGTAAGTTCAAGGCATTTCAGGCACTGCTGCTCCTCGCTATATAACCACCGTACCATTTCATTTGCTACCTGCAGAAACCCTGAGAATACAAACAGCCAAGACTATGTGGAAGATCTCTTTCATAAAGGCCTTTCTGGAAGAAGCCAAGCAGTTGGTGCAGTTCTGAGTTTGCTCCTTGTGATTCTTACAGCATGTTTAGTTATCCTTTTGCTTCACAAAAAAGAGAGGAGGTAAGGCTGGGAAGGATTTGTAGGGTTTTATGCTGTTTACTAACAGTCGAGTCTGATTCTTCACAACTCCATTGACCACATCACGCCAGGTCCTCCTGTCTTCCACTGTCTTCTGGAGTTTCATGTTCAGTTTCATGTTCGTTGCATCGGTAACACTGTGTAACCATCTCATCCTTTGCTGTCCCCTTCTTCTGTTACCTTCAATCTTTCCCAGCATCAGGGTCTTCTCCAATGAGTGCTCCCTTCTCATTTGGTGACCAAAATATTTGAGCTTCAGCTTCAGTATCTGGCCTTCCAGAGAACAGTCAGGGTTGATTTTCTTTAGGATTGACTGATTTGATCTCTTTGCAGTCCAGGGGACACTCAAGAGTCTTCTCAAACACCATAATTCAAAAGCATCAGTTCTTCGGCACTCGGCCTTCCTTATGGTTCAAGTGGCCATACATTACTACTGGGAGTACCATTGCTTTGACCATACGGACTTTTGTTGGCAGGGTGATGTCTCTAGTTTTTATTATGCTGTCTAGGTTTGCCATCGCTTTCCTCCCAAGGAGCAGGTGTCTTTTAATTTCATGGCTGCAGTCACCATCTGCAGTGACCTTGGATTCCAGGAACATGAATTCTGTCACTGCTTCCATGATTTCCCCTTCTGTTTGCCAAGGGGTGGGCCGGATGCCATGATCTTAGTTTTTTTGATGTTGAGTTTCAAGCCCACATTTGTGCTCTCCTCTTTTACTCTGAGCAAGAGGCTCTTTAGGTCCTCTTCACTTTCTGCCATTAGAGTAGTATCATCTGCAAATCTGAGGTTGTTGATATTTTTCCCAGCAATCTTAATTCCCACTTGTGATTCATCCAGGCCAGCATTTTGCATGATGTACTCTGCATATTAATTAAATAAGCAGGGTGACAATATACATCCTTGCCATACTCCTTTTCCTATTCTAAACCAATCAGTTGTTCCATGTCCGGTTCTAACTGTCACTTCTTGGCCCTTATACAGGTTTCTCAAGAGACATGTGAGGTGGTCTGGTACTCCCATCTCTTTAAGGACTTGCCACAGTTTGTTGTGGTCCACACTATCAAAGGCTTTAGCGTAGTCAATGAAGCAGAAGTAGATGTTTTTCTGGTACTCCCTTGCTTTCTCCATAATCCAGCAAATGTTGGCAATTTGATCTCTAGTTCCTCTACCTCTTTGATACCCAGCTTGTACTTCTGGCAGTTCTCTGTCCACATACTGCTGAAGCCTAGCTTGTAGGATTTTGAGCATGACCTTGCTAGCGTGTGAAATGAGTGCAATTGTGCCATAGCTTGAACATTCCTTGGCATTGCCCTTCTTTGGGATTGGAATGTAAACTGACCTTTTCCAATCCTGTGGCCACTGTTGCATTTTCCAAATTTGCTGGCATATGGAGTGTCTGTACAGATGAATGCACTTGTTGTGGTAATTGTGGTGCAAATGGCAGGACCAAATACCCTTGATGCAAGAGGATATGTTTTCTGTAATATCTGTCCTTTCTTTGGCATAATTGTTAGCAGTGGTGCCATAGAGGTGCATCCATATTCAACTGCTGCTACCTGCACCATTCCCCCAGTCCCACCTTTATATGCCTTGTGTGGTGACTGTGGATGCTTTTTCTTCTTTCCCAGCCATCAACCTCCTTCCAGCACACTGTTTTTCCTGGACCACATTATTGTTGTTGTTGTTGTTGTTATTATTCCCCTGGCCCCTGCTACAGTTTGTTATTACATGTAAACAATGCTCCCTCTAAGCTGTAGAGTCTTGTGAGCAAAAATTTTACTTTGTGAGCTACTGGCATTAAAGTTGTGAGCAAGTGATTTGGCTACTGCATAACTTAGTTTGCTCTGGAGCCATCCTTCCTGAGCTAAGACAAAAATCTGTGAGCTGGAGGCTAAAAAAAACCCTGAACTAGCTCACATTAACTAAGCTTAGAGGAAACACTGCATGTAAAATGTGAAGGAGAAACTTCATAAATGGGAATCACAGGTTCATGATTAAGGCTCAACTTGCACATCTCCCCTGTGCAAGTTTCCTTTCACTTTGGGGGCAAGATCTCCAGTTGATGGGCCAGAGGACATTGATTTGGCTCTGGTGGTCATTTCCTCGGACATACAGGATTCCTGTCTGTGGAGCACAACTTTCTCATTTCCCCCTCCTGCTTCAGCCCAAAATGCTCCCTAAAATGCTGATCCTGTGGGGACAGAGAATCATCAGAAATAATATGAAATGAAAACTGGAGGTCTGTCACAGGAAGGGGAACTGGCCAAAATCACCCCTCTCTTTTGTTCATGGGAATTCTCTGTGGGATCTAACTCTTTAAATGGTGGAGGAGGTTTCTCGGAGCAGTTGCCTCATTTGGAAGTCCAACAAGTCTTCCTTCAGACACAACAGCAGAAATGTGAACCATGCATGTATTCCCTTGCCAGTGCTCTTCATGAATTGGGAAGTTGGTTTTAGCCAATAGATTAATGAAGCTGAATGGATTTGCAGTTGAGTATGTAACATTCTCTCT